AGCTTCCAGTTTGGCTGGGAGCAGAAGGCTGTTCAGAGTGGCAGGGGAATGTGTTGGAGTGATTATTTGGCCACGTGGAAGCTGCTGGATCTCCTCTCTGACAGACAGCTAGTGGCATGCGGGCCCAGGCGGAGCAGAGATGACCGCGGGCCAGGTCAAGCAAAGAGAGCAACCGAATCTGCACCACACAGCTGGGGATCGGCCATGTGGGGACTGTCCTCACACACATGTGCGAACACACAGTGCTGTTCAAAAGTTTGGAATCACTTGTAACTATCATTTTTTTGGGATTTTGTGCAACAATAAGATACAAATGGTGTAGACTGAAACATTACATACTGCACCTAAAATTATTTTTGTATGCTTTAATTCCAAATTTCAAGCCATGTGAATAAGAAATCAGACAGAAGTAGTTACTCTTAAAAATATGCTGTATAGTTATATTATGCATATGTTCCACCATTTCAAACAATTCCTCACACAGCACTGAGGTGTTTTAAGAATCTATAGACTGATGTTGCCCTATGGCATGCCGCCGGCTCAGTTTAATTATCAACAAGAACAAATAGCCACCTCCGATCGATTCGACTCAGATCAATTCATGCGCAGCCCGAAGAAAGCTGTGCTTCTCAAATGTGTATCGACATAACCAACGACGCTGCCATCTCAGTTACTGAGTCATCTATCTGTCCGTGCCTGATGATGTCATAGCCCGCACCCAGCGCACGCTGGCAGAGTACGCCACCGCCATTCGTCACAAAGCTGTCAGCATCACTGACTATGGATTAGCCCAGTGGCAATGATCCACACGATGGCCCTTATTCATCAAAGTCACATACGGTCAGAGCAGGATGTACAACAGGGCAGTTTTTTATTCACCACTTTAATTTTTTGCTGTTTATGGATGATCAAACTCATTTGTTCAGATGTGTACATTTGAACCTGAAACATGCTTGCTTTGCAATTAAGTATTCAAAGTCAATTTTAATATAATCAATACTAAGTAAAACAATACATCACATACATGGAAATCTAATGGTTAAAATGGTAGATGTATGTAGTTTGAATCTTAGCTCATTAAGAGTAGTAAGTAGGGTATAAATACACAAATCTTTGAGTCTTAAAATATCTCAATGCACTTGCATTTGAAACAGCATTCCGTGACTGGGTAGATCATCATAGAGGACAGCCGTTCATTTGTGAGTTTGCTGAATGCTTCACTTCTGCAGAAACCAATTACATATTCAAACCTCAAGAATTATGATCTATTTAAACCCAAAGCATTAATTGAGATAGTAATAAGCTAAACATACATAAAATCCATAATTTACAGGGTTACATACACTCTCTATTGGGAGGTGGTGAACCCATACATTTTAACTTGAGCAAAAACCACTGAAAAATATTTTTGATTTCTTTTAAACTGAGATTGAGAGGTTATTTATCATAAGTTTCATTTTTAAATAAAAACACTATTAAAAAATTGCTATCTCTCATGGCCACATACTGAGCAGTTGTAGCCCATTGTTTTGAAGTAAATGTGTCCCAGAGTCAGAAAATCAGTATGAAACATTAAGAATTTTCACTACCTAAACACATATTTTCTTCAAGTTAGGTTTCAACTTTCTTGTGTAATAAAAATATTCTGATTTTTTGTTTATACAGCTGTTCAAAGTGTGTTTGCTAGTCATGTACTGGCTAGTGTTTTTGACTTCTGTTGAGTTCTGTTGCTAAAAATTACAGTTTCTAAACATTTGGTGAAGTTTCAGAGGCATCATGTTTTGATAGTGATAGTGTGGACAATTAGTTGAAAAAGCAACTTTGACAAGTATTGCGGTACTTTGATATACAGACACAAAGCCCTACTAGTAGCGCCACATTTAAAACCTACCATCAAAAAATCTGGGTACCATGATTTGTACTGAATGTTTGACATACTGTGCTGCACTAAAACCAACTGAACAGGACAAATTATTTTCTTTTTATAAAAAACATGCAGTTGGTCAGTGTTATTTAAGTACAAGTTTTTTCTTACATTTGTTCTTGAGAAAGATACTAGTCTCTATCAAAAAGTCTACATCAGATTCATGACGTGTTCTTGACTGTGTAGATTCTGTTCTTACCTAAGAACAAATCCTAAATAAGAAAACACTGGTGAACATCAGAATCTTCAAGAAAACTGCGTAAGTGAGTTTTACGAAGACATTTCTTCTTAAGAACAGTTGGTGGATGAGGCCCAATATCCATAATAAAAACTCAGAAATACATATTGTGTAGAACAAAACAAAATGTATCATGATAATAATAAAATATCATCATATTGCCCACCCCAAAGAATACATATATCTGTATTCTGGGACAGCATAGGGCCATAGGAGTATAGGTCTGATTCTGTTTAGTGTGAAAAGGACCTATTTGTGCACTCAGGTGGTCCTCGTCCACTCAGAAAGTTGGATAGCTCTCATTGTAGCTACAGTTGTCTGTTTTTTTGCAAGGTTCTCAGCAACCGTATCACAGGAACAATACAGATGAAATGATAACATTAGCTTGTTCATGACTGTTCACATGGTGTCAGAGATTGCACTGGTCTCTGATGTCATAACTTGTCAACTTGGGTAACACTGAACTTGCGTTACCTGCATGCACCACGTTGTTTACGAGTTCCTCAGAATTCGAATATAAGTCTGAAAGCCATCTGAATGCACTGTAACTAGGCTAACCTTGCAACTGTTTTCAGCTAATGCTGAAGATTCAGCTTCTAGGCTCTCGAGGACACACATAAAGATGCTCATTCTTATGCTAAGGTTGTGCCCATATTAACTGAATATGTGTTCATTTCCATAAAAATGTAATGAGCTCATTTTTTGACCGGATTACACATGCATGTTTTCCCGTCAAAATCCAGCAGAACAACAGAAAACAAGTTCAGAGAGCAGCAAAAGAGCAGTCAACTGTGAAGCGCTCCTCATGGGCAGTTGTGACTCAGATGGCATGACTGTCCACCACCCCACCCCCCAACCCTGTTCTTGTTGTCCAGTGAGAGTGGGAATGCACAGGGGGAAAAAAGGCAGCAGACTTTGTGCTCCACTCACATTAGAAGCCTCGTCTGCTTCTACTGTCGTTCCCTTTTATTCATTTATTCTGCTGTTGATGCAAATGGGTGTTTGAGTCATCGCAAGGCTGAAAGGACAGAATTCACAGTAATTGATTTCAAAGCAATTTGCTGTAATGCCTGTATCGACCACGAGGCCGGCTAACAGCTTTTTGGTTTGTTCCTTTTTTATTTTACCCTTAGAAGAGTTAGAGAGAGCAAGAAAAGAAAAATAATCTAATATTTAGATATTTCCTGATAGAATTTCTGGTAATAACTTTGTGTGGTGCTCAGACTATTAGGTCTATAATTTCCTTATCTAACTGCAGGTAAGGTTGAAAGATGCTCAGCCTTGAAGACACCGTATCCTTGAATGTAATGTCTTTGCTTGAAGTTGCCTTATGCGGTTTGTCTGGGTTTATGTACAAAAAAACAAATTTTCTCTGTGCATTTAGGACTGATATATGTAAACCAGGCTCTATAGAGAACATTTTCATGCAGAGTTTTAATGCACAACTACTGTTTATTTTCTGAATGTAACATATTGGAAAAAATAATAAAACATAAAATATGGCTTGTGCAAAAGTAATGGCACATTTTACATTTTATTTTTTTTACATAGACGTAGTGCAATAAAATCAACAGAAAATGCTGTATTTAGGTTTGAAAATCAACCGAACATTTAATTTGACCAGGGGTGTTCAAACTTTTGCACACGACTCTGTGTAAACATGTTAGTTTTGTTACAACCCCAAAATAATGCATTCAAAACAGCAGATAGGTTTCCATATTTAGGCTGTATGAACCTTGGAGTGAATTGAATGTACTACATCTTCACATCTTAAATCTTCTATTTCTAAATAGTGAGGAAAATTCATTTTTCCTGATATTGGCCCTTTAAATTCTCACTGATTGTGTATGGGAGATATGAATTTCTCATATTTCAGTATATTTCAGGTTTATGTCCTTGTGAAGTAAGAGAAACATGATTTTGATGTCCACCATCCTATCTGCAAACAGATCTGATTGCCTTTAAAACCTCATGAGGTGCCATTCGCTTAAAGGAATTCTTCACCTTAATGCTAACCTTATGCAAAATGCTAACTTGCCCTAAGTAGCTTTCATTTAATGTTAGAATCATTAGCATCTCAGAGGTAACCTCTTCACTGCGATACGTTCAAGGACACTGCAGCTGCCCAAAGAACAGATTAGACTTTGATACAGGGGCACATTGAGACCATGCATTTTAGAGAGGGCAGCCTTGTAGCATTGTTGTTGTTGTTGTTGTTTTTTTTTTTTTTATTTCTTTGTTTGTTTTTATCCAAAAGTCTAAGAGCCCTTGGGTTTGCAGTAAACATAAACCCGGCTAGTTGCAGTAACACTTGATTTCGGCTTTAATGCTACAAAGATGCTCACTTGCTAGCCTTTGCAAGGAACATCAAGGTCGCTACATTTGTTCCAGGGTCGTTGTCCAGATTTTGTATTGCTATAAATACAAAATGACTTGGCAGTGGAATGTACAAATGATTCACTGATGCATCAGTAACATTTGAACAATGAATATTTATGATATTTCATTGCATATCTGTCCATCTGTAGCTTGGGTTTCATGCAGATTATAGCCGCAGAATGTTCTTTTAAATGAAAGAGGTTATTAATGTTATTATAAAGGGGTAATGAGGACAGGCATGTCAAACCTTTGAGACCTGATACTGCCATATCTTGACTGTATTCCCAAATGCAATGACTCCTGATGCTTTACAGTAACTCCCGGATTTTTTTTTGCGGTTGCGTCAAAATTCATGAAATCATTTTTAATTGTGTTTTTGGCATTTTTTTTCAAAAAAGCTGATGTTTTTAAAAGTCTGTTCCCCATTTATCCCCTGTGTATTTTTCTCCTGTTGTTGACAGTAGGAGCCAACACATACAATCAAGGCGATGATTTCACCAATAATGAGGGTGGCGAAGATGAAGGTATTTTTTCTGTCTTTTTTCCTTTTTTTTCCCCTCAAAAACAACAAAGACTTGACAAAAGCCTGACTCATGCATGAGAACGAAACCTATAGATCTTTTTCTTTTGGTAGCTTAATTTGGTTTGGGTTTTTTTTTCCCCTTTTTTTCCTCCCCTGGAGGTGCTTCTGCATCTCTTTGCTCTTTTTTTTTCATTAATTTTTAACCTCTTTCCTCTTTGGAGATATTTAGCACAGAGTCGGAGGGCTGTGTAAAGAAATCATTCGTATATGTGTAAAGAAAAAAAGAAGAAGAAGGTCAGTGTTCAACTATGAGCACAACATAAATATATATCTCTAAAAAAATTCCCGTTAGCATTATGCTGGTTTTCACTTCGACACTCCCTTCCCCCGGTGCTGCAAAGTGAAAGATGTTCCACTGAGAAGTCTGCATGCCTTTTCTCTTTACTTCCTCAGAGAAATGATTACAGTCATGTTGCCCTTACTTTCTCTTTTTTACGTTATGTATTGTTTTTTTTTGTTTTTTTTCTTTCTTTCATTGCTCGGTGAAGCATGAACACTAACCTGTGTTGTTTTGACAATGGGAGATCTGTTCATTTGTAACTCCTGCCACAATCCCTGTACTATAAACAATTTTTTTGGCCTGTAATATTAATGGCCTGCTTCTTTGCATGGCAGTACACTTGGACAAATGGCATATTTGGGCAGCAGTAGTGATTCTAGGAGAAAAAAAAAAAAAAGAATGTTAAAGTGGTTCAGTGAGTGCGGTCTAGTTTTTAGATTTCATCACCGTACCATGGAGGCTTGTTTGCTAATGATGACGGGAGATAACTCACATGGAGACTGAGGATGTGCATGAAATACAGTCCTTTCTGTGAATATTTAATGTTGGAAATAGGACAGTCGCCGAGGGAAGATAAGAGTGAAACATGTTTTGACTGACTTTTAGTGTTTAAATATGGGTTGGCTGTTTTTAGATGGTAAACAGGTGGTTTACGTCAGCTTTTGAGTCATCTGAGTGTCATTCTCTTAAAAATAAAGGTGGCTTCTGAGTGGTGCCACCATCTAAGCATTGGCATATCATTGGAAGATCACTGGGATTCCAAGAGTCCAAGAGAGCATAAGTGGCCTCGGTCTCTCTGGGTGGGGATTGGCCCTCCCTCTTCACCACCACTGAGCATATTGCTAGCCAATGCAGGCGTCTGTTAGCTGACGTAACAGATTTGGCAGTTAGTGGTCTCCAGTGAGTGTGCTGAGCTGTCCAAAGATGTTGGCTTGGCAGCAGTTTGAAAAGATGTGGTGGCCCTTCCTAAGACCTGGAGGGATGCATGCTGGCCTCCACCCACCCAGCTTGATAGCATCGTGTGATAAGAGGAGACCTAGCTAGCAGGAGGAATTGGGAATTACTAATTTGGGGAGATTTTTTATTTTATTTTTTTTTTTTAAAGGACCAAAAATGGGTTTTGGACTTCTTTTGGAACAATGCCAGAGGAAAACCACTTTTCTTTTCCTAAAGAACCTACCAATGGCTGGTTCTTTACGGAAACCATTTAAATGGGAGGTTTTTTAATGTAAAGAACCTCCACATGATGTAAAAGTTCAATATTAATTAAAGAAACTGAAAAAGCCAAAAACCAGTTTCCTGTCAAAGCCAAAAACCATCCACGAGCCATGTATGGACCTTTATTTTTAAAAGTGTAGTATAATATGATGTTATAATTTATTATACGTTATTCTTTTCTTCATGTTTTCCAACTGGGTCTAGGAAATTGCAACTAAATGAGAGCAGAAATGAGAGAGAACGGTGTGGTTTATTTATCACATGATGAATATCTGCATTTTTGAGGCTTGCTACCTTCTCATGTGGTATCACAATATATGATAAGGCATTCTATAACTAAAGCTTGCTCCTGTAATAAATCTGACTGAAGGATGCTCTATCTCCAGAATCACATATCTGCCATTCTGCTGCGCTCTGCTATGATGACTGAAAAACAATTCTTCTTCTGGGCGTTTCTTGGAGACAGGGGAAAAATAAAAAGCTTGAAAACCCTACACTATCCCCCTGACAGGATAATCAAAGCCACAGCAATGTTTTAACCCACAGTATCTTGTTGATGAAAATCAACCAGACAAGCATGCAAGAGTTATTGTGCTACAGAAAAAAAAGAAAATACAGAGAAATCCCAGCATTAGGGTAAAACAGCAGCGAGGCGGCCGGGTGCCGACGGCTGGTCTTCATTGCTCTGGAGAGATGGCGGCGGGAGTTTTGCAGAAGGGCACAATCGATGCAGGCTGACTGCGTGCACATCTGCAGTGGCGATGAATTACTCGTTCTGGCTCCCTCGAGGCTGTACCTTCACCATATAGAGCTCCATTGCAGAACAGAGAGAGTCTCAGTAAATGGAAGAGATACTCCAGCAGCTACACAACTCACCCACAGGGTCTAGGCTTATGCTCTTTAAAATAAGGGAATGATAAAGGGTTCCTTGGAGCTATGTCATAGAAGAACCACTCTTGGAGGTTCGTCATTATGTGGAGAACCTCCATATAAGGTAAAGGTTCTACACACTCTTAAAAACTAAATGTTTCTGATTGGTTCTTGGCTTAGATGTATCATATAGAATTTTCCTTTTATCCATCCATCCATCTTCTAAACCGCTTATCCTTCTGGGTCGCGGTGGAATTTACCTTTTAGTGGATGATTATTTAAGTAAGCGTTTTTGTAAATGAGATGTTTTGAGTGTGAAGAACCTCCATGTGATGACAAATTTCTGTAACTTTCATCTATGTCAAGAACTATTCAGAAACATTTAGAGAGGTTCTTCTATGGCATCGCTCCTTTATTTTTAAGTGTGTGAAAACTCCTTGACCCTCTTTGTTTCGATTTTCTTTTGTTTTGTTTGTCAAAAACTATACTTCTATTGAGAAATGTATGTCGGTAATAAAGCCCTTGCTTGAGAATTAGCGACAAAAGGAGGGCTCATTGGAGAGCTAACGAACGAAGGGATCCCTCCTTGTCAGACCCGTTGTAATTGGTTTACATGCATATTGAATGTGAAGCCTAAGGCCTTAGCTTTAACGGTTATTAGAAGGTGACGTTGAATGCTCAGTTTGAGACATCAATAGAAGTTATGCTGTCTGTCCAGGGGCCATGCTTGACTCCTCTTTCATGGCACCATGAAATCTGACTTTTTATTCGTATGCAATGGCAGCAATTACCCTTTCGACTGAAGGATTATGAAGGACATTAATGCATATGACACAGTTGACTCACCTGCTGGAAGGTCTAAAAGCTTTACAACTGCTACACTGTCACAGTTACCACTAAAACAAAGACAGCATTGAATTTTCTTGATTCAAAAGTGTGCATCATTTACACATTAATCAAACATATCATGAACATTTTGTATTTTAACTTATTAATTTTTGGCAATAATTGGCTTATCTCTGCTCCTACACATTTCTACTGTTGCTAAACTGAACATGCTTTACAGAACATTGACAAAAATTGGATTCAGCCTAATGAGAAATTGTGGCACTGAGTTTTAGTAAAATACATACATTTAGAGTGGGTTAATAATAGGGCTGATCAAAATCAACATCAAGACCAAGCCTGAAGGGGGCATGATCAAGTCCAAAATTGGTAGAGACCGAGTCAAGATTGAGACCCAAAAAAATCAAGGCCTCTTCAAGACCATCCCTTAACTAGTCTTTAACTGCTTTCAGTCCATATTTCTTTGTCTTCTCGAGTTGTTTTAATCATTTAAAAGTGACACAATATACACTTGTGTTTGATTTAGCAAATGTCAGTCCATAGATCTCCCTCAACCATTGTCCGGCATAATCTGCTGAAGGTAATGGCTTTAAAAGCCATTTAAAAGATGTATTTAAATGATCAAGCTATAGTCATATCAACATGTAACAACATAGAGTATTAGCAGCTAGGCTTCAGCCAGCTCTACTGCAGATGGTTTGATGGGTAAAATTAGGAAAATGACGTATTACATATATTATTAAGTCCAAGACAAGTTGGAGTCAACAGTAAACGCGTGTATGTGTTGTGGGCTGGAGGTTACAGAACCAACCTTGTGACCGGAAGGTCGCCGGTTTGATCCCCTGAGCTGACAGTACCTGACTGAAGTGCCTTTGAGCAAGGGACGTAACCCCCAACTGCTCCCCGGGTGCTATGGTTAGGGCTGCCCACCACTCTGGGCAAGTGTGCTCACTGCCCCCTAATGTGTGTGCATTCACTAGTGTGTATGCGGGTGTTTCACTGCACACCTGGGTTAAAATGCAGAGGTGAAATTTCCCCGTTGTGGGGAAATAAAGGTAACTTAAGATGCCTGTTTTCAGTTAGCTGCAAAAGCATTCAGCTCAGACGCATAGGAAACTGAACATTTTGTAATTTCTGATTTGATTGAATAGAATTTTTGTCAACATTCTGTAAAGTAACCCCAAAACAGTACCTATGACAGAACGTATTTGTGGGCAGAGCAGGACAGTTCCATTGCTTAAGTCTTCAAATCTGGACCAAGATTTTGTAATCACTAGTAGTTGATCTGTTGATGTAACTGACTGGCCAGCTAGTGTCATAACCACCAGTGATTACAAAATTCAGGACCAGAACTGGTCCCAGTGTATAAAATCCAGGACCAGGAGCTGGTCCAAATGTACAAAATCCAGGACCAGGAGTGGGTCCAAACATACAAAATCCAGGACCGGAAACCGGTCCGAATTTGCAAATTTAAGGATTCGAAAGTTGTCTGAATATACAAAGTTCAAGACTGTGAAACTAGTCCAAATTAACAAAATCCAGAACTAGAAGCTGGTCGATTTTGCAAAATCCAGGACTAGAATATGGTCTGAATTTATGGAATCCAGGACAGGAAACTGGTCAGAATTTACAAAATCCAGGACTGGAAAGTGACAGAATTTGTAGACCTCTGGTTTCTTGTGTTGACTGAATATGTATTATTCATAAATAGGGTACATATATGAATC